CTTCAGCAAAATACAAACACATGATGGACTTGCTTAATTATATACCCCCAATGTACCACAGTTATTTAAAAAATTTGAAACAAAACGTGATTTCCGAGGACTTAATCACTCCTATCGATGACGANAGCAAAATACAAACACATGATGGACTTGCTTAATTATATACCCCCAATGTACCACAGTTATTTAAAAAATTTGAAACAAAACGTGATTTCCGAGGACTTAATCACTCCTATCGATGACGAAAATTAAATTGAACTGATGTATTTTCATATAAATTACTTATACTTATGTTTCAAACTGTACTAATTATTTTTGTATTTTATGAATATTAAAATAAAAAATACTTAAATCAAACCTTTGTATTAAATATGTTCATGGTATAAATTATTATTATATATGTAATTTATTCAACAATTTTAGTAAATCACTGTCCTTTCAAAACATCACTTCGGTAAAATACGTCGGACGAAATTAATATATGTCAGTCATTTTTCTAAACTATTTATTTTGAAAGTGACTTAAGTCATTTTACCGTAATGAAAAGTGGTGATTTTTTAATGTTTATACGAAATTATTTATACTGAGAAAACTATCAGTATCCTGAGATAACAAATACAAGTAAATCTTCTCGAAAGTTAGCATCCATATTTTTAAACGTGTTAAAACGCAAACCCTTAAATATATCCTTCATGACGAGTATATTCGTCAAACACAGTTAATTGGTTAAAAGGCGTTCGGATAATTTCGTTGCTCACCGTAAGTCTGAGCTATCGAATGTCCAAACAGAAGGCGACGGAAACAGTAAACAAGGTCGCTGAAACGATTGTTGACATGGTTCGACGCAGATCTATGCCGTCCGACCTCTGTGAGACGTTCGGCGAAACGAAAAAGCGCGGGAGCACCGGAAAGCACGCAGAATCGTTTTCGCAGTTCGACGCGCGGTTAGCGTAGTCGAATTCGCATTGTTGAACGATCGCTGTAAAAGTGGTCGCTGTGTTCCGAGAAACGAAACACTTGGCACACTGTTCGACAACCGGTCAGAATTAAATCGGCTCATTGTTATGCTTTTATCTACACGCGAGCTTCTCGCGCGATAAGGAATCTCGACCGAAAACGAATAAGGTTATGTTATATATATAATAACGATGCCGATGCTGTTCTATCGAGGGTTTTCCGTTTCCGTTCTCGCGATTCATAACGAAGAACTGTCGCAGCAGTCGATGCAGAAGAAGCGAGAACGGTGTAAGGTTATGTCAAGGTTATGTCAAGAATTAAATCTGCTCATTGTTTTGCTTTTATCTACACGCGAGCTTGTCACGCGATAAGAAATCTCAACCGAAAACGAATAAGGTTATGTTATAATATACAGGGTGTCCCACAGTTATTTTAACAGCCGAAAATGAGGGGTAGCGGAGGTCATTTGAAGTAACTTTTTCCTTTGCGAAAATGCAATCTGCGGCTTTGCTTACGAGTTATTAACGGAAAACACTGACCAATGAGAGGTGACGGCGCGAAGTTCGAGAGCCCGCAGCACGAGGCTTTGACAGATGGTCGGGACGGACTCGAGCCGCGTTCGAAGTATTGAACAAATCACGAAGCGAGAACTTTCCGGATTTTTTTTTATTACGTGATAGTGACATAAACTTGACATATCAAGGTTATGTCAAGAACATATCAAGGTTACGTCAAGGTTATGTCAAGGACATATGAAGGTTATGTCAAGGACATATCAAGGTTATCTCAAGGACATATCAAGGTTATGTCAAGGTCAACATATGAAATTTTTAAGAAAGGTGTACAGTGAAGATAAACAAAGTACGTAAATGATATTTTAATTTAAATAATTCCCCGTCCGAACACAGTTGAACGAATGATTTGCGAAACTAATTTAATAAATAATAATCGTGTTAAAGGGATATGTTTGTTAGAGAAATATGAAGAATATTATCAATAACCTTGACATATCAAGGACATATCAAGGTTATGTCAAGGACCTATCAAGGTTATGTCAAGGACATATGAAGGTTATGTCAAGGACATATCAAAGTTATCTCAAGGACATATCAAGGTTATGTCAAGGTCAACATATGAAATTTTTAAGCAAGGTGTACAGTGAAGAATATTATCAATAACCTTGACGTAACCTTGATATGTCCTTGACATAACCTTGATATGTCCTTAACATAACCTTGACGTAACCTTGATATGTTCTTGACATAACCTTGATATGTCAAGTTTATGTCACTATCACGTAGTAAAAAAAAATCCGGGAAGTTCTCGCTTCGTGATTTGTTCAATACTTCGAACGGGGCTCGAGTCCGTCCCGACCATCTGTCAAAGCCTCGTGCTGCGGGCTCTCGAACTTCGCGCCCTCACCTCTCATTGGTCAGTGTGTTCAGTTAATAACTCGTAAACAAAGCCGCAGATCGCATTTTCGCAAAGGAAAAAGATACTTCAAATGACTTGTGGTACACCCTGTATAATAACGATGCCGATGCGG